TCGATGACTCCCCGACTGAAGGATCGCGGCCCTCCCTACGGCCTCTTCGCTGAGCCTCTACCCATCACCTCGCTCACACTCAAACACGACGCCAATTACTAGAATTTTCCCATCTATCCTTCGCTTTACCGATCTTGCGAATGTGTTACGTTCTAAGGAGGGGCGTGCCTAGACCCACTCCTTTTCTGGGCATGATTTCCGTACCTAGCCGTGCGGATGATACGCTTCTATAATGCTCTGAGGTACCTTCCCTTCGGATTCCGTTGAGGATATGCCTGGAACGAGTTCTGCGGTTGGATAAGAACAAGGGGCACCTGTACTTGTCTATATAGCGTATGCCCAAGATGTTCCCAAAGTCGCCGACACGCCACGCTCCCATCACATGATTACGTAAGCTAACCTTGGGGGACATTCGGGCACGGCTCCCCGACTTGGCTGACCCTCGCTCTTTCGCACGCACGCATCCTACAGAGTTCTTTCGCTCTGTTTATCTCTCTCTTTTCCTCTTCCCTCTCCCCCGGTCCATTGCCTATCTTTCTGCCTTTCGACCTTCTTCCCTCTATTTAATTCATTCTCTTGCCATCTCTTTTCTTCTCTCCGTCTCCCTCTTTCTTTTACATCCTTCTAATTCTGACGTACCCTTCTTCCCAATCCTCTTTTTCTTCATTTCTTCTCTCCCTCCTCCCTCCTTCACTACCCTTTCCACCCTCACTCCATTCCAGCAAAACATAAAACTGTATTTCATCACACAAACGGCGCACAGATAACACGTCATACTTATGAATTTCCATTCTATATCCTTTTAATTGATTGCTCAGTCTACTCTACAGCGAGCCAAAGCTGACTAATGGTAATAGTGATGGAAAGGCACCTGGTACTGATACCAATGGCGGTGTTAATGGTGACAACAGTAGCGCAGTATAGGTGAACAGGTGGCATCAAGATAGGAGAAAATAACCATATATGGTAGGGGTAAAATTACCGGAATTGACGCATACACCAGAATGCATCTACAAACACACATACACACCATACATATAAGAAAATAGATTTAGATACGGATCAGACTGATGTACAGTGACAGATCTAGAAAGAGATACAAAGCGTAATACAATACAAAGTAATAAAATACAATAAAATAATAAAAAACAAAGCAACAAGACGCAAAAGTCTCTCCCCAATAACCGTCAGGGAAGAATCCTGCAGGAGACACGTTTCTTTATATCGTTTCTCATCTTCAGGATATGAATGCGAATTGCGTCTCCGAATCGAATCATATTAAAGGCTCGATAAATCTTCTCTTCTCCTCCGCTTTATCAAACTTTTGCCATCTATGCTCTTTCTCTTCTCTAACTCTTTCTCCGTGCTTTTGTGTCTTTTTTCTCACTTCTCCTTCTCACTCTTTTATTTCTTATTACTATTTACTTTCATTCCTTTCCTCTCCTTTGCCACACTTACATATAACATTTTATTCCTTCTCTTCTATTCTTAAAATGTTCATTTTTCTTATCTCTTATGATCTTCAATTATCTTTTTTCCCTATCTACCTATTCCCTTTTTCCAGATTTTACTTTTCATTTCTTTCATTCCTCCGCTCTCTTCTTTACCTAATCGTGTGTATGTGTCTAGTTGTGAGTGACCTTTTACCGTTGCCAAGCTCACTCTGCCGGAGGTCACATACCAAACCAACACCCTGACGACACTCGTTTCATTTCACCTTTGTGCGTTAACGGTGCGGACTTTTTTTTGACTTTGACACGTTTATTGAGACAAAAGTAAGATTACATCTCAAAAGGATGAGGTAACTTAGGTTATCCTCACCCTTAGTTAATAAGTCCGGAAGAGAGAGAGGGAGTGAGGGGTGGGAGGAGGGAGAGAGGGAGAGAGGGAGAGAGGGAGGGAGAGGAGAGGGAGAGGGAGAGAGAGAGGGAGAGGGAGAGAGAGAGAGAGAGAGAGAGAGAGGAGAGAGAGAGAGAGGAGAGAGAGAGAGAGAGAGAGAGAGAGAGAGAGAGAGAGAGAGAGAGAGAGGAGGGAGGATGGGGGGGGGGGAACACACACACACAGACATAGATAGAGAGAGCTAAATATTAAAGATAGAGAGAGAATCAGTGTTTGAAAAGAGTTCGGCCAAAGCAATAAATCAGCTCAGCGTGCAAACAACCGAGTTGAATGGCGAATGCCCAGGGTGC